GGGGGGGGGGGCGTACGACTACCCACCCTTCCCCTGCTTTAAACAAACAAATTCTTCGCATTAAAAAGAAATTTTCTGCTAAAGCAATGAACTTACGTTCGCGTGGAAAGTCGCGCGCCACTAGACAATGGGGAAGGTGGAATGCAGTAGGTGGATATAGTTTAGAATAGTTTCTGATGTTATATATAGCCGAAATAGGACGTTATCTTTTCAAACTTTTTTTGTTAATTACTTTTTAATGAAGGACGAACGATGGCTAAAATTTGTTGGAGGTCACTTAGGGTCATGACCTTGACAACATATGTATGTCAAGGTCAAGGTCATTGGAGCTTGGTCCCCTAATCGATATTTTTACCAAGAAAAGGAATAAATCAGAAAAAAGGTAACTAATTATGAAAGAATCGACTTAAATTAACATGCACACTTACATAGATTTATATGGAAGGATGCTGTAATCAAGTAAAAATTGAGCTTGCCAAAAATGGAGAAACAAATGAAGGAATTGTGCAATATACATAGTTATTGGCCCAGCGATGTCTCTTGCGCTTTTATCTAAATTCATTAACACCTAAAATACACATTTAACTTATTTTCGTATTTATTTCAGCTGTCGCACTGGCGAAATTTGCAGCGATTGTGAGGATGTTACTAAAGATTATTTTTCCATAATGTTGTTAAAATGTAACAAATCCTCGTACTTTCTAAAATTATTTGTACTATAAAAAAGAAAGATGATACGTACTTGTATATCAGTTGATACATACTTGTATACCAGTTAAACTTCCAATGATCATATTTAAGTTAAGATTAATTAGAAATATTTTCGTAAATAACGATTCGATATGTTCAGCAAATCTATGAAATCAGGACATTACATAATTATATGTGAATTAATATATATATGTATAAATATCAACGATAGAACGTTATGCAGTATATTTTTAAACATACTCTATTATGAGAGGATGTCTACGTAAACAATGTAAAGTTTTACTGTAATTATTGTCCTGTATCTTAGTTCGTTTTGCGTAAAAAATATCCTCGTTATCTTTGCCAATGTTCTCCAGTGTGTTTCTGTAATGTAAGAAATATCATTGCTTTTGGCAAACTGAGATTTTGGAATTATGAGTCACTGAAAAAATTAATTGTAATTTAAGAAAAGCGTCTCTATCTTTTTATGATCAACGCAGACTTTACCCAATAATTGAGAACATTGCACAAGCATGCTGAATTAAACTATAATACAAGCCATCAACCGCGATTGTGGCGAACGTGTGAGCGAACACGGCAATATAACTATGCAGTGCTATCGGATATATATATTGATTAAATTTCTCGCCGTATTCAACGCGAAATGGTAATCTCGGCACAGAAGATTTTGTCACATTGAAGATATCATTCGCCATCAGAGTCAGCATGATTGGTTTAAGTACGAAAAGACACCCCGTCATATGCATGAAAACTAGAGAAAATGGTGATCTTAGCGAGATCTTTGGGTTAGTTTATTAATATGCACAAAATACAAAGATTAATTTTTTTGATAAGTATACTCTTTAAGCAATTTTTTAAAGAAGCAATAAAATGTTTCGTAAAATCGCGGAGGATCCTATATATATGATTCAAAATGTACGCCTGCATTGTACATACCTGCATAAAATGCTGCTAGATATTGCCCATATCTTGTATGCCGTTGCAGAATAATCCTTTCTATATCTGTATTTATTGATAGCCAATCCTTTCGTATTATGTTAAGACAAATCTTTACCTAAACACATGCTGCCGTATTTCTCTTGCTAATGTAACATTTTTTCATATAAAAGTCAAGTGTTAATGCAAGTTTGAAAATTCATCACTTACTTTCTCGCTATTTAACATTATAATCAATAGTTTAGAGCTGAATGTTATACTGATAATTAGAGATGGCAGACACTCGAACACGTCATCGAGAGTTATCGAGCCGATTAGTAAGTAAAGTGCCTATTGGAATCAGTATAAAGTAAAATGTATAATGGCGAAATTGATAATTTGTTGTATTTAGAATTTATAATAGAATTATATAAAATAAATATAAATACAGATAACAAACAAGAATATAAATAAAATGCGCTCGAAGTTTACATAGCAAAACAATTAAATTATCAATGATCAAATAAACGAGCAATAAGGTGTTTTGTTAAAATATTTAATATTAATTTAACATATCAATATAAGAATATCAATATATAAAATATAAATACGGCTCTCTACACAGAGCCTTCTTCAGTATAACTAAATGAACATATCTCTTCCACTTAACAATTATTTCAAATCAAAGAAAATTCCATGTCAATTTATTGATGATATCGTTTTCACACCATCATGTAAGTAATTCTTTTAGAATCAGGAATTTTTACGAATTTATATATTTTTATGATTTAGATAAATCAATCGTGAAATCATTTTTACATTATGGGATTAAACGTAATTCTCGCCGTTAAACGAGTAATTTGTTTTGCATTTTTAATTATGGACATTTTTGGAAGAATTGACGTAATTCACCATTAAATCATCAATAAATTGACATGGAATTTTCTTTGATTTGAAATAGTTGTTAAGTGGAAGAGATATGTTTACTTAGTTATACTGAAGAAAACTCTGTATAGCCGAAACGTCTATATTCATTTATTTATATTTTATATATTGACATTCTTATATTGATATGTTAAATCAATTTTAAATATTTTAATAAAACACCTTATATTACTCGTTTATTTGGTCATTGATAATTTAACAAATAGAAATATACATATAATGATTCTATAATGTGTTCTCGATAGAAAAAAGTGCATTATACATCATATATTTATTGTAACTCATACATTCACTAATTTACAATTACATTTGAGTACATCCAAATTTATTTCATGTATCTGTTCACTTTCTCATTAAAGTTATTCGTATGTATTTTAAATATTTAATGAAAAATTTAACATGAGTGTGTGTGGGTGCATAGTTGATTAATAGATTCATTAGATAATCGCATTTGATATATTTCTAATCACTCATCAAAGAAAAAAATGTATATACGATCAATAAGTTTGCAGCACAATAAATGAATTCTTTTTTTGATAACTTTTGAATATATATACCTGAGGTATCGCAATACTAGAACACAATACAAACAACAGCACGAAGCAAATACATCTGTCCCGAAGATTATAATATGGCCATAATCCTGAAATAGTCAGATATAATCTAAGAACAGCGTAACGTCGGTTTTGCTCAACGTCTTTCTTATCGAACATTTTTCGAAATAAGATGATTGCGGACTATATCGACTATTCTATGTGAACGTCAACATTCAAAGTTCAATTTTCAATAAATTGCGGAAGATTGCATATTGATTTCTTTCATCTTCTATTCAGCAACATTATCGTAATTGCGCTAAGAAATAAGCGGGCGATTAACTATTATGTTTCAATCATTTCTCTTTTACATTTTTAAAGCTGTTACTTATCATTTCTCTTTGAAGGGACACTTTCTTGTAATTTTATATTACGTATCTCATGTTTCTATTTCCTTTTGGAAAACGTAGAACTTTATACTGCTTTAGAGAAAGCTGTATATACCTCTTTTAGAGAAAATAAATAGCAGAAATGACAAACGTCGTGAAAATATGATATATTATTATAATTTAATCACAAATTCTTTCGAATTGTTTCTTCGTTCTTCTACACTGTTAATTAGAAAGGTAAATTTTTCGGAATATTCGATCGGTTGATTACATACGTGGCTTATGTCGATAAACAATTAACTTACATACTTATGTAAAATTACGCGGGTCAAAAAGTTTTTAGAAAAGAGCGGACTTACACACATGCACACACACATTATATATTCATACGTAAGTCCGTTCTTTTCTAAAAATTTGTATATGCATATATATACATACGTGTGTCTGTGTGTGTGTATGTACAGGTAAAATGGATAATTTTTAAAAATAAGTTATTTTAATGAAAATATTAATGTACGATTATTAAAAAATTGATAGTTTATGTAAATATTGAATATTTCATATCAATATGTCAAGGTGTAAAAGATTTGTATATTATTGATTTTTCAATATCTCTAACTGAATACTTCTATGTGCATAATAATAAGAGAAACCATATTATTATAAAAAAATTATTTTATTTAAAAATGTGAAAGTTATCTTCATATCTTTTTAACTCTTCCACTTATTGTTAGAAAGGAATGTAACCAAAATATACTTTCCTCGAAACCGTTCCACTTTTATTCGAAACATTTTTTCGTATCATCAAAAATAAGTGAAATATTAAAAGATTTAAATTTAAGTGGACCATGTTGTACATAAGTAAACTTCTAGATATTGTGAAAGGTTACAGTGTATCTGTATGGAGCGAAAGATGATGCTATTTATTGTGAAGATATGTATATGCATGTACTTATATTTACGTATAATATCTATATTTCGTTTATCATAAAATCGAAGAAAAATATTCGAAATTATAAAGGAGAAAAGAAAAATATGTATAATACGTACAACTTTTATTGTATTAAATATATTTCAACTTAGACACTTTTGAATAAATTAATGCACCAAATCATCACTGGAGAGAACGAAACATAGTGAGATAAGATAGAGACGTTTTTACAACCTTTAAGAAATAAAAAAATCCCTCGGTAAGCTACAATTATAACAATATAATTTGAAAACATAACAATACAATTTTATATTTACCGTAGCAAAGCTTTCAATAGATAAAGTCACCATTTTGCCGGCGGTGATTTTGCATGGTGACGTCGTTCTGTTCATAATTAGGAGAAAAAGTTTTTGACATCTGTGCGAAGCATAATACCAATTCGCCCTGCAGCTATTATTTGAAATAAGATAAATATAAATTAAAATATATAAATATAAATTAAAAAGATTAATAATAAATCGAATGTTTGTGTTAGGCCTTTATCTTGATATTCAACACAGAAAGCTGCAATCTATCTTTCGATTCGCCTTGTATGTATTACATATGAAGGAATTGCAATTATATCAGAATTAAAATAATTATAAGTGTGCGATTATTTGTAGTAATTGTAAATATTATAATACTCCAAAAATATAAAAAAAAATCATTCGTTTCGATACAAGCTTTTCTCGATGGTTTAAATTGTCTAGAAAAAAGAAAAACCTCAAACTAAAGAATCGAACATATTGAATATTCGATCTGTCCGAATAGTTTAAAGTAAAAAAAAATGATTTATTTTGAATACTTCGGACAATTCGAGTTTAAGTAGTGATCGGTTAGAACTGTCAGTTTAGTTGTGTCTGAAGTTCGGACAGTTTTAACTGTAAAGAAATGTAGTGTACCTTGGGAAGAACAGTTTTTCACAAAAAAAAAATCTTTTCTTTTTTAAGTGGTTGCTTAAAAGTAAAGTGCTTAAAATTTGGGATGCCTTACCAGGGCTTACCTAAAATTTGCACAATTTAGATAAAAATATTAAGAATGTTTTAGCTGTACAATAACAGTCAATTAGTCAAAATAAGCTGACATTAATCAATATCATTCAAAAAATTTTGATGGTATTAGCCCGTGAATATGTTCTGAAACCAACTGCAAAAAACAAAATAACAAATAATTTGGCTTATAACGATTTTATGCATCAAAATAACCATATATTTCTGTTTTTTAGGTTAACAACTTTTAAACGAATAAGCGAATCCAAATAAACTTTTGCATGAATATTTATTATTGTTTGATGTGTGGAATTCGACCGAGCAACCTTCTCGTGCAAATGCATACACAAATGCCGGCGGTATTGTGTTGAAAATTTACTGAGAAAAGAGATTTCCTAATTTTTTTGAACAGTGAGAGCTACATCTTTACCAAACGAAAACAAGGTGAGAATATGTTTATTTTTCGAGGTTAAATTTGTATGCAAGTTTATACATGTAAATGTAAATACCTCTCCAGAATGGCCGTTGATCTATTACTTTTTATTATCATTATAAATGTAATGCTTTGAACTATTATAATTTCATTTTTTAGAGAAGTCTATGGCGATATTTGTGTTCAGTTAGTCAAAGAAGCATTTCCAATCCTTAGCTGTTACTAATTATATAAGTTATACATTAAAAGTTACATTTTTAACATTTTTTTCTCCCTCATTTCATCGTTAACTTATCCTAGAATTTTGCACACGTCAAGTTCAGTATTTTAGCTTCATTACATTAATTACATAAAGAAATTAGACATTTCTATGGTAACTCGGTTTAATAATAAGAATCGCCTTAAAATTATATAAACCTTATAAAAATGTCTTTACTGTCCGTACTGTCCGAACTTCAGACATAATTAATTGACATTCTTACCGATGATTGCTTGAACACGAACTGATCGAATTGTTTGAATTATTTAACGTGTGATCTTGAAATTCGAAATGTCCGAACTGTTCAATTATTTGACGTTTCCAAGCTCTAGAAAAAAATCAGAAGAATGACGTAATTAAATTATAAAGGAACATGAATTAATTTGCACCCTTACATAGATTCATATGGAAGGACGCTGTAGTCAAGTAAAAATTGAGCTTGCCAGAAATGAAGAAACAAATGGATGAATTGTGCAGTATAGATTGTTACAGGCCCAGCGACGTCAAAGGAAAAGGAATAAATCAGAAAAAAGGTAACTAATTATGAAAGAATCGACTTAAATTAACATGCACACTTACATAGATTTATATGGAAGGATGCTGTAATCAAGTAAAAATTGAGCTTGCCAAAAATGGAGAAACAAATGAAGGAATTGTGCAATATACATAGTTATTGGCCCAGCGACGTCTTTTGCGCTTTTATCTAAATTCATTAACACCTAAAATACACATTCAACTTACTTTCGTATTTATTTTGACAGTCGCACTGGACAAATTTGCCGCGATTTTGAAGATGTGGTTACTAAAGATTTTTCTTTTCATAATATTGTTAAAATGTAACAAATCCAAGTACATTCTAAATTTACTCGTAATATAAAAAGGAAAAATTGATACGTACAGTAGAACCTCGATTTGTCGATATTTCGCTTATTCGACTATGCATTATTCATATCTCGTTTATTCGATATCGATTATTTTCCAATATACATGCAACTTCGAATGGTTATGCATTTATCCCGTTTGCATATACGTTTTTTTTCTACCAAATTCTTCTTTTTATGAAAAAACTGCGTAATAAATCTAATTTCATTGATTTTTTAGCTGCGGAGACTCATTTAAATAATTATCCATGTTTTTTAAATTAAATAAAATATAATCCTGACATTACATCCGTTTTTCACGATTATTTGATCTAATTCTGTCTCTATTAGATCGGACAATTGAGGTTCTACTGTATTTGTATACCAGTTGATACGTACTTGTATGCCAGTTAAACTTCCAGCGATCATATTTAAGTTAAGATTAATTAGAAATATCATCGTAAATAACGATTCGATATGTTCCGTAAATCTGTGAAATAATGACATTACACGAATATATGTAAATTAATATGTATACAATACATGAATATCAACGATAAAAATGGGTAGATTTTATACAATTTTTTTTTAAACATACTCTATCACAAGGAGATGTCTACGTAGACAGTATAAAGTTTTATTGTAATTATTATCCTGTATCTTAGCTTGTTTTGCGTCAAAAGTGTCGTCGTTATTTTTACCAATGTTCTCCAATGTGTATCTGTAATACCAGAAATATCTTTTGGCAAATCGAGACTTCGAGATTATGAGTCATTAAAGAAATTGATTGCAATTCAAGAAAGGCATCCCTATCTTTTCATGATCAAGGGAGATTTTACCCAATAATTGAGAACATTCCACAAGCATGCTGAATTAAACAATAGTACAAGCCATCAACCGCAATTGTAGCAAACACGTGTGCGAACACGGCTGTATAACTATGCACTGTTATTGGATAAATATATTGATTGAATTTCTCGCCGTATTCAACGCGAAATGGTAATCTCGATATAAATGGTATAGATTTCGTCACATTGATATCATTCGTCACCAGAGTCAGCATGATTGGTTTAAATATAAAAAGACCCGACGTCACATGCATGAAAGCTAAAGAAAATAATAATCTCAGCAAGTTCTTTATTTTTTGAAGTTATTTCAACAATGTGCATAAAATACAAAACAATCAATTTTTTCTTAAGAATAATATACTCTTAAGCAATTTTTTGAAAACAAAATAAAATAATGTTTCGTAAAATTGCGGATGATATGATCCAAAATGCACGCAAGTTTCTATGACATCTGTATTGTACATACCTGCATAAAATACCGCCAAATATTGGCCATACCTGGTATGCCGTTGCAAAATAATCCTTTCTACATCTGTATTTGCTGATAGCCAATCCTTTCGTATTGTGTTAAGACATATTTTTACCTAAACACATGCTGCCGTATTTCTTGCTTATTGTAACAGTTTTTCGCATAAAAGTCAAGTGTTAATTCACTTTTAAAAATTCGTCACTTACTTTCTTACTATTTAACATTATAATCATTAATTTAGAGCTGAATATTATACTGATAATTAGAGATGGTAAGCTCTCGAATAAGTCATCAAGAGTTATCGAACCAATTAATAAGTAAAGCGTCTGTATTGGAATTATAAAGTAAAACGTATAATTGCGAAATTGATCATGTTGTGTTTTTAAAATTTATAATAGACTTATATAATATAAATATAAATAGAGATATATAATTATTTTATGTCCGATCAATTATATGAGAGAGAAAAGAATTACATCATATAGTTATTGTAACTTTACACATTCACTAATTTACAGTTACATTTCATTACATCAAAATTTATCTTATATGTCTGTCTTTTTTCTGTCCTCATTCTGCTGTCTTATATTAAAGTTACTCATATACAGGGTGTCTGGAAATTATCGCCAAATGTTTCGTGCGTGGGTAGAACAGACTATACTGAGTCGAAAAGTCCTGTACCATTTTGCGGTGTCAGTAATAGTTAACGAGATATTAATTACTAAAAATTGCAAAATATTGGTCTTGAATTTTTTACTCAAATAGTATCAACTTTACAGAAAAACTGCAAGAGATAAAAATCATTAATTTTCTTCTCATAAAGTTCTGAGAATTTTTTCAGAATTTTTTCAGAATTTTTTAATACCGTATTTTCTTATGTTGGTAAAAATAAAAAAAATGCAGTACTAAAAAGTTAATAAAAAATTCTGAAAAAATTCTCAGAACTTTTTGAGAAGAAAATTAATGATTTTTGTTTCTCGCAGTTTTTCTGTAAAGTTAATAGTATTTGAATAAAAAATTATTCAAGACCATTATTTTACAATTTTTAGTAATTAATATCTCGTTAACTATTGCTGAATGGTACAGGACTTTTCGACTCAGTATAATCTGTTCTACCCACGAAACATTTGACGGTAATATTCAGACACCCTGTATACTTAAAAAATTTAATTAATGTGTGCGTGCGCGTACATAGTGTTGATTAATAGATTCATTGTATAATTGTATATCAATACATTTCTGATCGTTCAAAGAAAGAAAGTGTACAATTAATAACTTTGCAGCATAATAAACGCACTTTTTTTGCTAACTTTTGAATGTATATACCTGAGGTATTGCAATACTAGAGCAGAATGCAAATAACGGCACGAAGCAAATACATCTATCGCGGAGATTATAATATGGCCATAATCCTGAGATGGTTAGGTATAATCTAAGAACAGCGTAACGTCGATTTTGTTCAACGTCTTTCTTGTCGAACATTTTTCAGAATAAGATGATTGCGGACTATATCAACTATTCTCTGTGTGAAGCTCAACATTCAGTATTTAATTCTCAATGAATTGCGGAAGATTGCTTATCTATTTCTTTCATTTCCTATTCAGCAATAGTATCGTAATTGCGCTAAGAAATAAGCGGGCGATTACCTACTGTATTTCAATCATCTCTCTTTTACATTTTTAAAGCCGTTGCATATCATTTCTCTTTGAAGGGACATTTTCTTTTAATTTTATATTCCGTATGTTACAGTTTTATCTCGTCTTGGAAAAGAAACTTTACACTGCTTTAGAGAAAGCTGTCTATGTTAGAGAAAGTAAATATTAGAAGTGACAAACAACGCGCTTGTGAAAATATGTCATATTATTAATTTAATCACAAATAATTTTCGAATTATCTCTTCGTTCTTCACTACTGTTAATTGGAAAGATAAGTTTTCAAATCTGATCGGTAATTATATGCGTAGCTTATGTCGATAAATAATTAACTTACATGATTATGTAATGTTACATAGATTAAATATTTTTTAAAAGAGCGTGTTTATATATATATATATATATACAGGGTGTTTGGAAAATAATGATAAATCTTTCGCAAAAAGTCATTTTTGCTTCAACGTTGAATAACTAGATGAAAAAAAATGGTACGGAGCTTCGTAAAAAAGTAAATTAAAGGTAAAGATTCGCTCTTTCGAATGATGTAAATTGCATTTGTGTACAATTTTTAGAACTATGTTGTACGTAAGTAAACTTCTAGATATTGTGAAAGGTTACAGTATATTTATATGGAGCAAAGAATAATGCTATTTATTGTGAAGAAATGTATGCATTTATATTTACACATATAATATTTATATTTTAGTTGTTATAAAATTGAAGAAAAATATTATAAATTATAAAAAGAAAAGTATTTATAATACATACAATTATTATTCTATTAAAGAGATGTATTTTTCAACTTACAGTTTTGAATAAATTATTCATGCGCCAAATCATCACTGGAGAGAACGAAACATAGTGAGATAAGATATAGAAGTTTTTAAAACCTTTAAGAAATAAAATAAATACAACAAAATAATTGAAAATATAGGAATAGAATGTACTTATAAAATACCTTATGCTTACCGTAGCGAAACTTTCAATAGATAGAATCACTATTTTGCCGGCGGTGATTTTGCATGGTGTCGTCGTTCTGTTCATGATCAGGAGAAGGAGTTTTTGACATTTTTGTGAAGTATAATACCAATTCGCTTTGCAGCTATTATTTGAAATAAAATAAATATGAATTAAAACAATAAATATAATAAATCTTTACATTAATATTGAATTAATTGTAAGTATTTGTGTTTCTATTACGTCTGTATTTTGACATCCAATACAGAAAACTATAATTTATCTTTTCATTCTTCTTGTATATGTTACATATGAAGGAATTGCAATTTCATTAGAATTATAAGCGCGAAATTATTTGTGGCAGTTGTACATACGCGCCAAAAGTATAAAAAACTATGTATACAGGGTGTTTGATAAGTAACAATAAAACTCTTGCATAAAGGCAGAATGGACTAAGATGAGTCGAAACGTCTTCTACCATTTTACAATTTTCGCAATAGTTAACGAGATATTAATTACTAAAAATTGTCGAATATTAGTTTTCAATAATTTTTTACTCAAATACTATCAACTTTACAGAAAAACAGTAAAATATAAAAATTGTTAATTTTTTCCTCATAGAACTCTTTTTTTAGAATTTTTTAAGAATTTTTTCATAATTTTTTAATACTATATTGTAATTTCTCATGTTGATAAAAATAAGAAAATGCAGTACTAAAAAGTTGATAAAAAATTCTTAGAACTCTATGAGAAGAAAAAATAAATAATTTTTATCTCTCTTCCTGTTTTTCTATAAAGTTGATTTGAGTAAAAAATTGAAATCAACATTCTGCGATTTTTAGTAATTAATATCTTGTAAACTATTGCAAAAATTGCAAAATGATACAGGAGTTTTCGACTTAGTTTAGTTCGCTCTATCCATATGCGAGAGTTTTATCATTACTTACAAACACTCTGTATATATTTCGATACTAGCCTTTCTAGATGGCTAAAGAAAGGAAAAAAAATGGTAATTAAATTATGAAGGAATAGACTTGAATTAATTTGCATTCTTACATAGATTTATATGGCAGAACGCTGTAGTCAAGTAAAAACTGTGCGTTCCAGAAATGAAGAAACAAATGGATGAATTGTGCGGTATAGATAATTATGGGCACGGAGATGTCACTTGTGTTCCTCTCTAAATTCATTAACACCTGAAATGAACATTTAACTTATTTTCCTTTTTTTTTTGGTTGTCGCACTGGTCACAATTACCCTGATTATGAAGATGGACACTGGAAATTATTTTTCTTTTGTAATTTTTTGTTCGTTGTCGTTAAAATATGTATAATAAAAATCTTCGTTTAAAATTATTTGTAATATAAAAAAGAAAAGTTGATATATACTTGTAGACCAGCTAAACTGCCACAGATCATATTTAAATTAAGATTTATCAGAAATATCTTCGTAAATAATGCTTCGATATTTTCCGCAAATCTGTGAAATGAGAACACTAAACGATTATATGTAAATTAATATGTAAATATTACTTAACGGCAGAAATAGTTATCATTATTTCTTTATACATACTCTATCACATCGAGATGTCTACGCAAACAGTGTAAAGTTTTGCTATAATTGTTGTCTTTAATCTTATCTGATTTCGCAATGAAATCGTTCGCGTTATTTTTTCCAATGTTCTCCAGTACATTTCTATAATGCCATGAAAAATACCGATGCTTTTGATAAATTCAGATTTTTATATAATAAATCATCAAAAAAATTGATAGCAATTTAAGAAGAGTATTGTTATCTTCTCATAGCAAAAAAAGAGCTTACCCGATAATCGAGAACATTCCACAAGCATGTTGAATTAAAACATAGTACAAGTTGTCAACCGCTATTGTAGCGAACGAGCGAGTAAACACGGCCATATAATTATGAATTGCTATCAGATATATATATTGATTGAATTTTTCGCCGTATTCAACATTAAAAGGTAATCTCGATGCAATTGGTATAGAAGATTTTGTCGTATTGGAAATATCATCCGTAATCAAACTCACTATGATTGGTTTAAGCATGAAAAGGGTCGTCATCGTATGCACGAAAACTAGAAAGAACGATATTTGTAGAAAGATCTTTAAGCCATACGTTTAAATATGTTTAAAGTATCGATTTTTTTTTACAGTAA